TTTTCATGAATAGTTCTTTGTGTCTAGATTTTTAAGTCTCATCTATTTATTTATTCTGTTATCTCTTGATGCGTAAAACTAATGTATAGTTTATCTTGTTAACCCTCTGGGAATAAATAAAATTAATTGATGTTAAAAATAAAAAAATAATAAGAACATGTTTTATCATATGGGAAGAGAGAAAAGAGAGAAGAAAAAAATATATTTTCTCTTTTTCACAGTGAACACGAACTTATACATGCAGAACGAAAAAAGTGAAAAACTTAATTTTTAAACGTTTAGAAGAGTATTATGAAGCCTTAAAACATGGGAAGATTAGCCATAGGGAATTATTTACTACAAATGTAGTATGTTTAAATCCTTTTGATAATAATCACAAAAAACATTGTGATGGAAGATTTAGGTGTGCACAATGTGGAATCATCTCTCTCTAGACGGAAACTGCCAGATAGTACAAAGTTATCGTTTAGAGTTAAACAAGGCGGTTAAACAAGCGATTGAAAAAGGTGAATTAAATTATGATGGTTCTAAACAATTTAAACAAGTAAAGCAGAACGACTATTGTTATGAGGATAATGCATTTCCCTTGTTAGAAAGAAATGTTAGAAATGGAGAAAATCATTGGAAAATAGTTGAAAATAAAATGGATAGATTATAATCCCCCCACAACAAAACAGATCGAATAGTAAATGAGATTGGGATGATAAACAAGAAGCTAGATAATCAGGCTACAACAACTAAGCGGAATGAAACAAATATAATTCTGAATAAAATAATAACAACAGAGTTTATATCAACAATAGTGGATTTTATTAATGATATTGGGAAGCCAGTAGTAAAATTAGCTACTAATGATAAAGTAGAATTAACAAAAATCATGGATGATTATGTTATAAAACTACGAAGTATTGAAGAACGCCTACGTTTAAATTTCCAATTTGAGGATATGCCGACGGGACCAAATAGATTAACAACAAATGAAGAAGCAAATTCTGACATTTCAATGATTAATAACTCACTACTAACTACAACAATGATACCGAATCAAAGAAGAACAACGTCCGTAGAAATAGAAGTAAGAAATGGTCCGGAAGAAAACACGAACATCGTTTCATTAGTCTAGGATCGGAATGAACCCGTTGGCGCCCTTTTTTTCCCATAGTTTTAAATAATCCGCTAGAAAAAGCGATATACAGATTACAACAGTGTAAAGTACCAGAAAAAATAAGTAAAAATGTTATAAATTTTTTGTCTGAGTGGTTCTCACGTAGCACATTGAAAAATATCTTGAGAAAATGGGAGTTATTCGGTGAAAGAAATAGTAATTCAGTAAAATGTCAACAAATATCGCTAAATTTCTTTCTTTTTAATGCTCAGGGATGGAACACCCGAACTTTGGAAGTTGTTGACCTTATCCACAGCTGAGATATCTCTTTTTGTATATGTATGGGAGAATTTCAAAGTACCGGATTTTGTGACTTTTCATCACGAAGGAACCAATAATAATGGGGGTATGTGTTGCGGTAGGTAAACATCTAAAGACAGTTAGAATTGAAACACGAATTGCAAACACAGTTATAGTAGATATAGAAGGATTGTCTGAACTCATCCGAGTGATAGGTATTTACTGGCCAAAAGTCAGGATGGAGATCTCGATGACCTGTTACCATACGTAGTTGTAAATACAATATTAGCAGTAGGGCTGTGATAGTTACCAGTTAGCGTTACCACCGTTACTCGGTAACTGTAACTGCTGAACAGTTGATGTTCTTGGTAACGGTAACAGATAAGTAGTTACTGCACAAGTAACGATAACGACCGGTTACAAGTAACGGTAACTGTTCAGTATATCTTTCAACAGTCAAATCTCTAAATATCTAGGTATCCAGGGTGAGGGTTAAAGTTCTTAGCCTCACCCTTACCCTGGATACCTAGATATTTAGAGATTTGACTGTTGAAAGATATACTGAACAGTTACCGCTACTTGTACAGTAACTGCTTACCCGTTACCAAGAACGTCAAATGTTCAGTAGTTACTGTCACAGCCCTAATTAGCAGGAGATTTTAACGCAACTGTTATGGGATTGAGGATAAATCCAAAAACGGATGGTAGAGGATGTACTTTGCAAAAACAGATTGGAAAGAATGATTTCTCTTTCATCCCAGGAACGTTTAATTCTTTGCGACGTTCGGAGCGAAACATAGATTTTATATTTTCAAATTTTGTAGGTCTAATCGGAGAAACGTTAAGGTATGGGACGAGTGACCATTGGCCGGTAGCATACACATCAAAGGGTATAAGTTTCTAAATCTATGCAAAGTTTCCTCGTGTTTTATGGAAAGAGTATGAAATCATACTTTGTTTACTTCAAGACTTTTGGCTGGAGGAACAAAGTAGGGCGTCATCATTTGAATGGTATAAAAACTATATACGCTTTGTATCTGCGTTGAAAAATCGAGCCACTGTTTGGGTGAAACGAGAAAAATTTAAACCGGCTCT